AAGAACCAGTACTTTAAAATTTTTACCGTATAAATGCTAGTTTTATTTGCAAGTTTTATGATAAAAAAATGAGAATTGTGCAAAAAATGCTGTTTTTCCAAAAACCAGTATTTTTAAATTTTGCTAATTTAAACACTATTTCAAGTTTACTTTGTTGATGTTGATTGTTTTAAGGTTTTCTTATAGAGAAATAGGAATTTTTACAAAAATATTGGTTTTTGAAAAACCAGTATTTTTATTTTTTTTTGTGCCAATTTTGGTGAATTCTTGATATTTTTTATTTAGAAGTATTTTGACAGTTGTATAGTTATAAAATGGAAAGTTTTTTTTAAAATACTGGGTTTTTCAAAAAACCAGTATTTACTTAATGTTGCATATTTTTAGGTAATTTTTCAAATAACTTGCTATTTTCATGTGAATTTTACATTTAATTGCTATTTTCTTCGGTTGTTAAGGTTTCTTTAGTTTTTTTGGTCATAAATTTAAAGTTTTTAAAAATACTGGGTTTTTCAAAAAACCAGTATTTTCTTAATTTTGCACATTTTAAGGTGATTTTCTCAATTACTTCGTTTATAATGGTTTTTCTTAGTTTTTTTTATATGAAAATACAAAGTTTAATAATACTGGGTTCTTCAAAAAACAGTATTTTCTTAATTTTGCACATTTTTAGGTAATTTTTTCAATTACTTGCTATTTTCTTCATTTATAATGGTCTGCCTTAGTTTTTTTGGCCAAAATGGTAAGATTTAGAAAATACTGTTTTTCAAGAAACCAGTATTTCTTAAATTTTGCACGTTTTTAGGTGATTTTCTCAATTACTTGATATTTTCTTCGTTTATAACAGTTTTTCTTGGTCCTTTGTGCAAAAAATGGATTTTTTTTAAAAATACTGGGTTTTTCAAAAACCAGTATTTTCTAAAGTTTGCTCAATTTTAGGTGATTTTTACAATTAAATGCTATTTTCTTCATTTCTAGTGGTTTTTCTTAGTTTTTTGCACCAAAAATATAAAGTTTTTAATAATACTGTTTTTTTCAAAAACCAGTATTTTCTTAAGTTTGCTCATTTTTAAGTGATTTTCATATTCACTTGCTATTTCCTTCATTAGTAAGGGTTTTTCTTAGTTTTTTGACCAAAAAAGAAAAGTTTTTAAAATAATGGGTTTTTCAAAAACCAGTATTTTGGCGAATTTTTAAGATTTTTTTATTTAGAAGTATAAACTGGCTTAAAATTAATAAAACTTTCAATTTTGTTTAAAATATTTAAATTTTAAGTAATTTTTTTTTAATTTTTTTAATGATATTTTTGTAAATTAATTTAATTTAAAATTAAATTTAAAATTATATTAAAAATTATTTTAAATAAATGAAAAATTAATTAATATTAAATTATAAGTTTTAAACATAATTTTCTTTTTATAGTTTTTTTTTAATTTATTTTTTTTTGTCACTTATTACTAAAAAGAATTTATTTAGCAATTAAATTTAATTTTTATAGGCTTTTTTTATTTTGTTTTTATTAAATATTTTTTGTGGTAGTTTTTTTTTCATTTATAATTATTTTTTCGAATTGCAGCTACAAGTATTTTTTTTTTTTTTGTTAATTTTTTATTATTTTTTTCTTTTATTTTTTTTAAATATATATAATATTTATTAAATTAAATTACAATTAAACTGCTATGCTACGTTTTTGTTTTCTTAATAAATGTAGGCTGGGTTTTGTTTTTATGTTGTTGTTTTTTGTAAGAGGAGTAGAGGTTTTTTTGTTTTTTCTTTTATAGGACAATAAGTGTTGTTTTTATTAATATTTTTCTTACGTTTTTGTGTAGAGCATAAATTTGCTAAATAATTTTTTGTTTTCTTTTGCTTTTTTTCCCAAAATTAAAGTAGTAAGTATTAAGTTTGTTTTCTTATTTTGTTATACAGACAAATCATTATGTTTTTATTTTTAGGTTTTTTCTTTAATTTTTTTCTTTATTTATAATATAATTATCAATAAAAATGGTGCCATATGTTGTTGTTTGTTTTATTAATAATAATATTTTTTTATTCTCATAATTTACTTGTTTTGATTTTTGTTTTGTTTAAGGATTAATAAACTGTAAACCGTTTTTTTAAGTTAATTTTTTTATTTATTATTAAAGGGGTTTTTCGCTATATACTTTTTTGTTATTAATATTTTTAGTATTTTTCTTTTTTATAAATAATGAAAGTTAAGACTCTTAAATCTAAAAAATATACACAAAATCAGTAAACTAAATTAAAAAAAATAAAATAATCAAATTGCAAAAATTGCCTAAAATCAGTTTTAAAACTAATATTAACAAATACTGGGTTTTCTCAAGACCAGTATTTTTGTATTTTCAACTACTGTTTCAGTTTCCTATTTATTACTTTATACCAGTTTAAACCATCTTTTTTTGTAAAAAAATCAATAAAAAGTGAATTTTTTTAAAAATACTGTTTTTTCTGAAAAACCATTATTTTTAAGAATATTAACTAAATTTTAAGAAATAAAGTTATTTATAGTTAATTTTAAACCATTTTATGTAGAAAAATCAAACAAATATGGAAAATTTTTAAAAATACTGGTTTTTGAAAAACCCCTATATTAAAGAAAATCAACAAAATTTCCTAAAAATACTAGTTTTCATCATGTTTTGAAAGTTTTATTCAAATACCGTTATTTAAATTCTGTATTTTAAGCAAATTTTCAAAAATACTGGGTTTTTTTCCGAACCACTATTTATTATTTTTATTTGAATGCAGCCTAACTTTTTTGTATATTAAAGTTTTATGTGCAAAAATCCTCAAAAAGCGAAAATTAAAAAAAATACTGGTTTTTTTGAAAAACTCCTATTTTAAAGAAAATCAAAAAAAATAAAAAAATACTAGTTTTTCTGCATCACCACATTATCAAATTATAAAAGTTTCATTTATTTATCTAAATACCGGTATTTGAAATCAGTTTTTAAAGCAAATGCCGGTTTTTGCCAAAACCAGTATTTTTTATTTTTACTCTATTTCAGCCTTTCTTTTTTTACATTAAAGTTTTAGATTAAAAGTTCAATAAAATGTGAAAATTTTTAAAAATACTGGTTTTTGAAAAACCACTATTTCAACAAAATTTCATGAAAAACTGGTTTTTATTATAACAGAAGATAAAAATTTATGAATTTTCACTAAAAACCAGGTATTTGAAATAAATATTTAAAACACATTTTCAAAAATAAAGGTTTTTGCCTCAAATACCAAAAATAACAATTCTTTAAAAAACCAGTATTTTGTTTAAAAAACAATTTTTTTCTAGCTACTATGTTTTTTCATAATTTTAAACAAAAAATGCTTAAAATTTAGTTTATATATATTAAAATACCGGTTTTTTAAAAACCAGTATTTTTCAAACCTTTGTTTAAAATAGTGTGTTTTTCATATAGAATCATTTTTTAAGGTTTTAACCTTTTAAAGCTAAAATTCTTTTGTTAAAAATAAAAAATAACGGTTTTCAAAAACCAGTATTTTTCGTAAATATTTTCAATAAAAGGATTTTTATAAAAAAAAATTGATTTTTTAGTGTTTTAACATATAAAGCTAATAATAAACTTAATAATCTGAAAAAATAGGTTTTATTAAAACCAGTATTTTTTAAATTCTTAAAATAACAAATTTTTCCAATTTTTTCAATAAAAATAAATTTTTTAATAGATTTTTTGTTATTAAGTGTAATATTTACTTAATAAACTAAAAATACTAGATTTTTAAAAAACAAGTATTTTTGAAAAATTTTCCAAAATGGATCTTTTATTTTAAAATTTATTTAAAAGCTTTAAAAGTTTTTAACAATTAAAACTTAAAAAATTACTTTAAATGACAAAAATACTGGGTTTTAAAAAACCGGTATTTTTTACAAATTGGCAAAAAAAAAAGGGAATTACTACTAAAGAAGTAATTTTCTTTTGAAAAATCTTTAATTTTTTGTTTAAAAACCTTAAATTTACTTTGTTTAAAAGAAATACTGGTTTAAAAAAAAAGTATTTTTACAAAATTATCAAAAAACACTGAAAATTTTCTTGAAAATAAGTTTTTAATGTTTTTTTCTGCAGAAAATAAAGATTTAAAATTAAATTTTACTTGATTAACTAAAAATACTGGTTTTCACAAAAACCAGTATTTTAGCAAAATTGTCAAAAAGTGAAATATTTCTGGAAAAAATTGTTTCTAAAGGTTTTTATATTCAAAAACTAAAGATTTAAAGTCTTTTGGGTTTTTAGAAAAACCAGTATTTCTTTAAAAACTGTAAAAAACAAAAATTTTTAAAAAGATATTTAATTTTTGTGATAAATTGAAATAAAACTAATTTATTTTAGAATTTATTAAGAAAATAAAAACCAGTATTTTTATGTTTTTGTTAGGAAAATTTTATATTTTTATTAAAGTTTAAACTTTTTCCAGTTTCAAGAGTCTTAACTTGTGTTTTCTTGTTTAACTTTTTCCCTTTATTTGTTTGCCTAATCTTGTTGTTCATGCTAAAGAGAAGGTTTAGCGGTTAGAGTGTTAGGTAACCTTTTACATGCCAAAGGGAGGGTAAGGAAAGTTATAAGAGATTTGAGTTTTTCTTTTGTTAGACGCTTTTTACGTGTTTCTTTTAGTAGATATTTATATATAAATAATGTATTTTTTGTTTTCATATAGGGATTGGTTTACTTTTATTTTATATTTTTTCTATATTTAAATGTTTTTTTAGATTATTTCGCCTGGTTTTTCCTTTTCATCTTAAACGTTGGTTGGTTGTTGTTGTTTTTCTTACTTAAATAAGTTGTTAAATTTATTTTAAAGTTGTTGTTGTTTTTATATGTTATTGTTATATTTAATATTATTATAATTAATTATAAATTTTTATAATTTTTAATTTTTTATGTATTTTTTTTTTTTTTCAATATATAAATTTTTTTGTTTTTATTTTTCTCGAATTATTTTACTCAATTAAAAAAAAATATGAAGTATTTTAGAAGAAAAATTGCCTCAATTGCAATTGTTTGTCATCTGGGGTTTTTATTATTATTATAATTAATATTAATATATATTAAACCATTAAACGCATTACCATCATCCTCATTCTGTAACTCTTCCTTATGATGAGTAGTAGCTGGCGCTGTTGTTGTTTCAGCTGCTGCACAGTTTGATAATGTGTGTGGCTGTGTTGGTTTAATCTCGCTAACCCATTGTCGTCGTTGACTGTTGTGTTTGTGTGCCACCTGTACTGGCCGCTGCTGCATTTGCTGCCGCATTTGAGGCACCATTATCGGCCTCACCGCCATTATTGGCCTGTGAATCTTGTGTAGCTGTGGCGCCGGCATTATTTTGTGATGCTGCTCCATTGCCACTGGCTGAGTTAGCATTGGCGGCATTATTATTACTGGACGTTCCCGATGTAGAGGCATTTGTTGAATTACCCGCTGAAGATTGTGAACCTGAAAGTGGAAATGTTTGAAATATTCGAAAGTTTATAGATGAGAAATGGTTTTAAATCAGTTTTGCTAATGCTTTAGACAAATATGATCACAAATGGAAGTACAATTTACAATTTCTTCCATTCTAGCTGTTAGTTTCCTACTGAAAACTGTTTAAAGGTTCGAGTGGAATAAAATTTTGTTGTCATTAAAAGTCTTCCTTGTGGCCAACTAAATGTAATCTATAATTTACTTTACTAAGGCTTCTTTTGACCACCGGCAGGGATTTCAGCTCATATTTTGTATTTAGCAACTGACAAACATGTGCTAATAGTTCTGCATTGGTTTCTTAAGATTTTCCTTAGCATCTTTTTCAATTTTTCTACTTTCCGGCCCTTGTAAAGGACCGTAAAAACAACTATTGCTTAGAAAGACTCCGTGCGAACGCTGTTAAAGATTTCTCCTGTTCATTTCTTTCACCTGCAGGGGTTATCAACAGAAACTTTAGCTACTACTAATGTCGCGCATACCTGCTTATCTCGTTATAAGCTTTATCTACTTAAATTATTTTAAAAAACTTAACTTATTGCCATTTAATCTTTTGTTGAATTTTAGAACTGGTGAAATGAAAATTACACTTAAAAAACGTTTCTTTTGAACTTTTATTAACTTTTAAACAATTAATTAGTTTATTTTTATTAATATCACTTAAGAAAATATTAATTTTAAATATTTTCTGCACAAAAATATAAATTTTTTAGCAAATATGTGAATTTTTTTACATTAATAACGTTTTGTTTACTTTTGCTGAAAAGAGTTGCCAGCGGCAACATTTTGAGTTTTCAATATTGCCATATATGAAAATATAGTGAAATGAGCGAGAGAAGGAAAAAACGCCTAATGTATGGATTATTGTTGAATAAAATAGGCAATAAGTGAAATTATGTTTTAATTTCACTTAGAAACGACTTATTTTAATAATTTTAACAAATTTTAGGTTAAAAATTTCTCATAAATAGACTTTGTTTATACAACTGTTTTGAGTTTTTTCTTAACACTATCTATAAATAAAAATGAGGTGATAAACCGCTAAATGTTAGCACCGTTTGAACCTTTTGGCAATAAATTGAAAAGTCAAGGGGCTTTTATTATGTAATTTAATGTAAAAATCTTGTAATTTTTGTAATTTTAACAAATTTTATGTAATAAGAAAGTTTATTTACTTTGGAAATGGAATTGCCACATAATAGTTCTAGTTGACAGTATTGCCACTACATATAAAGACAAAGAAAGCGGGAAAACGCTAAATAACAATACTTTTTTCTGTTATTTACAGATAAATGGCAATAAATTCGTAATTTCTTAGCCGATTTTTGTAAAATTTTACATGATTAAAGAATAATTATAACTGAGTTTAAATTTTATATGAAAAACTTATAAACCTTAAGGCGTTTAAAGTCAGCTAACCTAAAAATTCTCTTTAAAAATGTATACATTTTTATACTACATACTTTTAACGCATGCTTTACTATATTTAAGCCACAACATTTATATTTATTAAAATATAGGGTGTGTTAAAAGTAATAACTATAGTATTTTTGTTTAAATTTTTTAGTTTACATTACAAACATGCCTTTTACAAAGTAATTCAATAAAACAGCCAAAAAAAAAGATAAAAAAGGTTAAAGGAAAAATAAGAAATTAAGGGAACTATTAATAAACTACTACTTTTACTACTTATTTTACATAAAACCAAAACCGCAAAACCAACAGAAACAACTACTACTGAAATAGAAAAGAAAACATTGGTGTTTTAAAATAATATTAACAGATGTTACTGAAAAAATTAAAGAAATAAAATGAAATAAAAAGAAAACATTTTAATAGTAAAATAAACTTAACCTGTTTAAATAAAATGAAAGTTTTGCTTTATTTAAAGAAAAATTTAATATTTTCCATTTAAATGCTTAAAACAAACTTTAGATTTTATTTTAAATTATTGCCAAAGGAAGGAAATTTCAAGTCCTAGCTGGATTATTTAACTTATAGAAAACTTTTTAAAAGGAATTTTAAGATAAAACTTTGGAGTTGGGTTATAAATGGTTAATATGTAAAACTCGAAAAACCGTAACGCAAGTACCGTTATCCAACGCCAAGCACTAAACCTGCAATGATGCACGGGATCTTCCTTCACCCAGAGCTGAATTACGAAGATATTTGTACAACTTTTTCAATTTGTTTACATCACTGTTTGTTTTTTGTAAACAAAGCCAGCGGAGTTGCCATACATTTAATTTACAGCAGTGTTGTTAACATTTAATTTTTTTAAAAGCTAAAAGTGTTGAAGATTATAAATTCAAGCTTTTTTTTGTTAAAATCATTAAAATATGAATTGTTTTCTATAGAATAGTTCCTCTATAGAATTGTTTCTCTATTTTTAAAATTTTTTTATTAATGGACTTGAAATTTCCGGTTGTAAAACCCTAATAAACACAATAAACCAAAGATTTTGTTTGTTTTTGTTTTTAATATTAAATAATAATTATTTTTATTTATTAATTATATTTGTTTACTTAAGAGTTGCATTTTATAATCATTTTTTTTATATAATTTTAAGAAATTAAACTAAATTTAAAGCATTTTTTAATAGATATTTTTTTGCTTAGTTTTTTTAAACAATATTGTATTTTATTTTATTATATTTTGTTTTTAATTAAAGAAAAAAAACTAAATAAAGCTGTAAAACAGTTTTTAACTAAAAATAAAATTTCGTTATATAAAAAAAAATTAAAACAATAAAGGAAAAATTATACTTAATAAAAAAATATAGAAATTTAAATTTTAACTGAAAATAAAGCTAAGTTTTGTTTAGGTAATTAAAAAAAATATATTGAAAAATTTTGTTTATATAATTTGTTTTATTAAATTTGACAGGAAATTTGTTTTAGATAATAATTAATATCTTCTTTAGGCGTTAAACAGCATGATTAAAGAGATATTTGCTTGTTTTTAATTTGGAAAATTTGTTTTCAATTGCAGCTGGAAAATTTGTTTAGCTTTCCTTTTTTTCAATAATTTATTTTAAATAAAACTATTTTTTATTTATTAATTTATTTATTTAAATCTCAATTTTAGGCCTTTAGTTTAAATATTAAATCAGTTTTCTTTAGTTGTTAATTTTTTTTTAAATTTTTATTAATTTATAAAACTTTTTCTTTGCTGTTGTTTTTAAATAATTTAACAAAAGATATTTTAAGTATAAATTTGTTGTTGCTTTTTTAATGTTCCATATTATTACTAATTTTCTGTTTTTTATTTAAAGTTTTCGTTTTTTAAAAAAAATTTGTTATTCATACACAATTTATTCATTTGAAGATTTTTGATGTGTATTTGTTTTTTTTTTATTAAATTTATATTAATTATTAATAATAAAACTAAAATTTTGTAATTTATTAAAAAAAATAATAATATTGTTACACAAACAAAAAAAAAATTACAAGACCAAAAATAGTAGTACAACTAAAAAAAATTAAAATTATTAATATTAAATGTTTGTTGTTGTTGTTTTTTCTTTTAATTTTTAAAAATTATTATTATTATTATTTTGTTGTTTTTTTTTAATATATATAAATAATTATTATAAATGTTTTATAATAATAAATGAAAAAAAGTATAGAGAACTATTTGAATTTAAAGTTTTTTGTTTTTTATTTTCTTTCTTTTTTTTCAATTTTTTTATATAAAATTTTTATGCCACTATGAATCTGCAAGAAATTAAGAGAAAAAAAGATACAAATAATATAGAAAATAATAAAAAATAAACATTTACATTAATTTAATAAAAAAAGCATTTAAAACTAATGTGTAATAAAGAAGCAGCCAAAAACCATTTTTTATATATAAAAAAGCACTTTTATTACAACCACAACCAAAATTTACTAAATAAACATTTAGACACACACAAATTTTATAGCATGCGTTAATAAAATTAAGAAATTCTAACAAAATTCTATTTAAAAACAAATTAAAACTTGTTACTTAAAAACAAACATTTGACATCACTACTTTACTTAAAAGCAATGTTGCCAAATGCTTGTGGAAAGAGAAATGCTAACTAGGGAACATTTGGTATCATTGTTTTATGTCAAATCAGGTATGGATAATTTTGTTTTAAAAAAGTCCACAGTCTAGTCTATAGTGTAGTCTAGAGTATAGTCTAGTCTGTAGTCTAGTCTAGAGTCTAGTCTGTAGTCTAGTATATAGTGTAGTCTAGTCTATGGTGTAGTCTATAGTATAGTCTATAGTCTAGTTTATAGTGTAGACTATAGTCTAGTCTAGAGTCTAGTCTATAGTCAAGTCTAGAATCTAGTCTATAGTCTAGTCTATATCCTATTATATAGTCTAGTCCACAGTCTAGTCTATAATCTAGTCTATAGTCTAGTCTATAGTCTAGTCTATAGTCTAGTCTATAGTCTAGTCCATAGTCTAGTCTATAGTCTAGTCTATAGTCTAGTCTATAGTCTAGTCTATAGTCTAGTCTATAGTCTAGTCTATAGTCTAGTCTATAGTCTAAAGTCTAGTCTATAGTCTAGTATATAGTCTAGTCTATAGTCTGGTCTATAGTCTAGTCTATAGTCTAGTCCATTGTCTAGTCTATAGTCTAGTCTATAGTCTAGTCCATAGTCTAGTCTATAGTCTAGTCTATAGTCTAGTCTATAGTCTAGTCTATAGTCTAGTCTATAGTCTAGTCTATAGTCTAGTCTATAGTCTAGTCTATAGTCTAGTCTATAGTCTAGTCTATAGTCTAAAGTCTAGTCTATAGTCTAGTATATAGTCTAGTCTATAGTCTGGTCTATAGTCTGGTCTACAGTCTAGTCTAGAGTCTAGTCTATAGTGTAGTCTAGAGTGTAGTCTAGAGTATAGTCTAGTCTATAGTCTAGTCTGTAGTCTAGTCTATAGTCTAGTCTATAGTCTAGTCTATAGTCTAGTCTATAGTCTAGTCCATAGTCTAGTCTATAGTCTAGTCTATAGTCTAGTCTATAGTCTAGTCTATAGTCTAGTCTATAGTCTAGTCTATAGTCTAGTCTATAGTCTAGTCTATAGTCTAAAGTCTAGTCTATAGTCTAGTATATAGTCTGGTCTATAGTCTGGTCTACAGTCTAGTCTAGAGTCTAGTCTAGAGTTTAGTCTAGAGTTTAGTCTAGAGTCTAGTCTATAGTCAAGTCTAGAATCTAGTCTATAGTCTAGTCTATATTTTAGTCTATAGTCTAGTCCACAGTCTAGTCTATAATCTAGTCTATAGTCTAGTCTATAGTAATTATTTTTATTTATCTATAGTCAAGTCTAGTCTATAGTCTTGTCTAGTCTATAGTCTAGTCTAAAGTCTATAGTCTAAAGTCTAGTCTAGTCTATAGTCTAGTCTATAGTCTGGTCTATAGTCTGGTCTACAGTCTAGTCTAGAGTCTAGTCTAGAGTCTAGTCTATAGTCTAGTCTATAGTCTAGTCTATAGTCTAGTCTATAGTCTGGTCTATAGTCTGGTCTACAGTCTAGTCTAGAGTCTAGTCTAGAGTCTAATCTAGAGTCTAGTCTAGAGTCTAGTCTAGAGTCTAGTCTATAGTCTAGTCTAGAGTCTAGTCTAGAGTCTAGTCTATAGTCTAGTCTATAGTCTAGTCTATAGTCTAGTCTATAGTCTGGTCTATAGTCTGGTCTACAGTCTAGTCTAGAGTCTAGTCTAGAGTCTAGTCTAGAGTCTAGTCTAGAGTCTAGTCTAGAGTCTAGTCTATAGTCTAGTCTAGAGTCTAGTCTATAGTCTAGTATATAGTCTAGTCTATAGTCTAGTCTATAGTCTGGTCTATAGTCTGGTCTACAGTCTAGTCTAGAGTCTAGTCTAGAGTCTAGTCTAGGGTCTAGTCTAGAGTCTAGTCTATAGTCTAGTCTATAGTCTAGTCTATAGTATAGCCTATAGTCTATTCTGTAGTCTAGTCTATAGTCTAGTCTAAAGTCTAGTCTAAAGTCTAGTCTAGTCTATAGTCTAGTATATAGTCTAGTATACAGTCTAGTCTATAGTCTGGTCTATAGTCTGGTCTACAGTCTAGTCTATAGTCTAGTCTAGAGTCTAGTCTATAGTCTAGTCTATAGTCTAGTCTATAGTCTAGTCTATAGTCTAGTCTATAGTCTAGTCTATAGTCTAGTCTATAGTCTATTCTGTAGTCTAGTCTATAGTCTAGTCTATAGTCTAGTCTATAGTCTAGTCTATAGTCTAGTCTATAGTCTAGTCTAGTCTAGTCTATAGTCTATTCTATAGTCTAGTCTAGTCTAGTCTATAGTCTAGTCTATAGTCTAGTCTATAGTCTAGTCTATAGTCTAGTCTATAGTCTAGTCTATAGTCTAGTCTATAGTCTAGTCTATAGTCTAGTCTATAGTCTAGTCTATAGTCTAGTCTATAGTCTAGTCTATAGTCTAGTCTATAGTCTAGTCTATAGTCTAGTCTATAGTCTATAGTCTAGTCTATAGTCTAGTCTATAGTCTAGTCTATAGTCTAGTCTATAGTCTGGTCTATAATCTAGTCTATAGTCTAGTATATAGTCTAGTCTATAGTCTAGTCTATAGTGTAGTATATAGTCTAGTCTATAGTCTAGTCTATAGTGTAGTCTATAGTCTAGTCTATAGTCTAGTCTATAGTCTAGTCTATAGTCTAGTCTATAGTCTAGTCTATAGTCTAGTCTATAGTCTAGTCTATAGTCTAGTCTATAGTCTAGTCTATAGTCTAGTCTATAGTCTAGTCTATAGTCTAGTCTATAGTCTAGTCTATAGTCTAGTCTATAGTCTAGTCTATAGTCTAGTCTATAGTCTAGTCTATAGTCTAGTCTATAGTCTAGTCTATAGTCTAGTCTATAGTCTAGTCTATAGTCTAGTCTATAGTCTAGTCTATAGTCTAGTCTATAGTCTAGTCTATAGTCTAGTCTATAGTCTAGTCTATAGTCTAGTCTATAGTCTAGTCTATAGTCTGGTCTATAATCTAGTCTATAGTCTAGTATATAGCCTAGTCTATAGTCTAGTCTATAGTGTAGTATATAGTCTAGTCTATAGTCTAGTCTATAGTCTAGTCTATAGTGTAGTCTATAGTCTAGTCTATAGTCTAGTCTATAGTCTAATCTATAGTCTAATCTATAGATTAGTCTATAGTCTAGTCTATAGTTTGTTCTATAGTCTATACCAACCGTTGTCTTTAAAGAATTTCCTATTTGCATATGAAAAAAGTGGAGAAATTTTCGACAAAATAGATTCTTACTTCAACAGCTGATTGTTTTTAAGGGGTTTTATTTATAAACTGATTTAAATACTTGCTAAACTTTTTCTCTAAAGTCTTCTGCTAAATTTATGGATAAAACCCTCAAACCTAATAAAATTATAAAAGCATGCTATTTTTTCCAAACTTTAAACAATTAAAATTGACCGATTATTTAGTCATTTAACAAGTTCTTTTCTTAAATTTAAATAAAAAACTTAAAATAAATTTGGGTAATTAAAAAAGTGAAACTAACCTGTAGCTGCTTGCGCTGCACCACCTGCACCCGGCGTAGTATTATTAGCCGTAGCGGCAGCAGCAGCACTTGTGGCATTTGTTGACGATGAAGAAGAAGCAGCAGCTGTGGCCGATGAGGCGGCACCACCTTCACCACCAGCGCCAGCAGTACGATGTGCGCTATTTTGCATATGTTTTGGCAACAATTGTGGTACTAAACTTGGTTGTATTGTAAGTTCTAAAATAAGCAAAATAGATAAAGGAAAGAAATCAATTAAATGTTTAATATGATGATTGATTAATTAATTAAACTCACCATGTTCAGTGAAATTAAATAATGGTGGCATTTCTCGACCATTTGGTAATGTATGATTACCCTCTTGACGCAATTCATCGAAGAATGGATGGGCACATGCTTTCAATGGTGTTATACGTGCACTTGGTGTATATTCCAATAATTGTGATACCAAATTTATAGCTTCTGGTGGAGTGCGTATACGGAAAACCTTAAAAAGAAAATTTGTTTTTTTGTTTGGTTTTGTGGTTAAAATAAGGGAAGGCACATAAGCATAAATGATATGATCTATTAGATAGTGGAAGAAGTTTCGGATATAATTTCTAAAAGGTTTATAAGAATTTAATAAAACTTTGTAGCTTAGTTTATCTATCGGTTGGTAAAGTTCTAAAGTAGAGCAACTCGATCTTCATGTATGGATGCCGGAGTTAATAGACTTTATAGGTCTACATTCCGGTAGGTTATAAACTCAGCTGTATCTTATCTCTAATACTGACAAGTTTTATTGAAATCTTTGTAAACTTTTAGAAATTGTTGTTAAAATCTCAATTTATTTGAAATTCTCACCACTTTATTGTCATAATAGTTCAATAATTTTATGTTTTTAATTTATTTAAACTAAATATTAGTACAAAAAACTCTTCAACTTACAACATATTTACACAGTAAAAAATTTATACGCGTAAAATAAAACGAAAATTTCAAGGCAATACAATTTTAGAAGAAAAATCATTCAAATATAACCTTACTTTTAAAAAATATATGATTTAAACTTAAAAATTTGACTTTGACTATTGACTATAGCCTAGACTACAACCTAGACTATGTTCCGGACTATAATCTACCAAGTTTTCCATGTCCTTTCAGCTTCCTTTCCTTACATATCTACTTGTTTCTTCTTGTTTGAATTGAAGTAAGTTGGGAACAAAGTACTTTTTTCTTAAAATTCTCCTAATAATTGGACTATTAAGATACATTGATGTATAGCCAAGACTAATAGCTTTAATTTGAGTTATTTTACAACAACATTACTTTAAAAATAAAGTTTTTATTGTCTAAAAAGTAATGGCTTTTTAATATCCATTAAAATCAGCTGTTAAAATTGTTAGGCGGTTTTTAAAAGCACCACAAAGACTGTTTGTTTACATTTGATACAAGTGTGAAGTTAATTAAAAAGGTTGATGTTAAAATGTTTATAAAATAAAGAAATTATGAGTTTAAACTTTTTCGATGGTTACAAATGGTGTTCTATTAAACTACAAGGAGAAACGACCTTAAGAAGAAACCAATAGTTGGATTGGCAGCTCATAATCTAACAATCAGTCGACCGGATGACATCCTTGTAACTTTTATTCATAGATGTCAGAAAGATTTATTATTTTGCAAGGAGTTGGTCAAAATAGTTAGATGAAGTTCCTATGAAGTTAGTTGCCCCGTCTATCAACGAAGTCCTTACTATAATATTTTTGTAACATTCATAATTTCAGGCGTTTTTTCAGCAATTGACTACTTGTCAACATTGTTATTATTGTTTACCTTTTCTCTGTAATATCACATCAAGTTGCCATATCGTTATAACAATTTAGCGGTTTATGCGTAAGAGTAAAAAGTATAACAACAACGCAGTCTAATGAGAGTTAAAGCAACGATTTAACATTTGTTAAGAGCAAATAAAGCAAATTTATTTTGCTAAACATTTAATTTAATCGGTGACTGATAATTAACTAACAAAAAAAAAATAGTTTAAAATTCTTCCTAAAGATTGTAGAAACAATCATGCAAAAGAAGCCATCTTTAAAGCATATATACAGGGGAGCAATTATAAAAATAACGTAGCCAAATGCCTTAAAACAAATACAACACGATTTTAAATTATTAAACTAATTATATGGGTTTCAATCTTAATAAAACTGAAATGAAATGTCAAAACTAAGCTGTAAATCTTTTAAACCAAATGAGAATTAGAAGAGTGAGAAGGAGTTTAACAAAGGGGGTTAGCAACGATATAAATTATTAATAAATAATTAGAAAATAGTAACCAATTATTAAATAAAATTAAATAAACAATGAATAGAAAGTTAAAAAGACAAAATTTTGAGGGTTTTAAAATTAGGCGCGCGCTCTCTCTCTCTCTCTCTCTCTTCCTGGTCTCATACAGAGACTTTTTCTAACACTCCCAGTTTGTGTTTGGGTAGTAGCACTCTCTCTCCCTTGCTTTGAACCTGCCTTTTTGCACTTATGTCTATTTAACTTAAGTGTCTTTTTAAGAAGAAATTCTTACGGTTAAACGTTGTTTCTGGTTTAGGGCATTTGGAAATTGGGAACGTTCTAGAAGTGACTGTAAAAAGTTTTTGTATTTTATTAGAAATAAAACGCACTAAATAGAAGAAAATTTTGTTGGAGTTAAAAAAAAAAATATATATGACAAAAAGCTTTACAAAATTTTAAAACAGCCATTTTGATTATGGAAAACTACTTTTAAATAATAAAAAAAAAACATGAAATATTAGAAAAATGTTTATTAATAAATATAAAGAAATACTTACTTTTTGCCATGGATGACTTTTAATTTGTGGAAATTTGAATTCCGTATAATTGGGATTCATTTCGCGAATTTGTTCTCGAGTGGGTGTGCCCAATACCTTAATAACCTCAACCAATTGATCGACACCAGAATCACCGGGGAATATAGGTTGGCCCAACAATAATTCAGCTAATACACAACCGGCGCTCCACACATCTATTAGGGATACAAAAAAAAAATTAAAAATTAAAACCTAGAGTTTTATTGGGATTAGGAGTCTTAAAACTTACCAATTTTTGTGGTATAATTAATAGCGCCAAATATCAATTCGGGTGCACGATAATATCGTGAACAGATATATGAGACATTTGGTTCGCCATGCAACAATTGTTTAGCACTACCAAAATCGCATAATTTCAAAACAGCGGTCTCTGGATCCAATAATAAATTTTGTGGTTTAATATCACGATGACAAATACCCAATGAATGTATGTAAGCCAAACTTCTGAACAATTGATACATGTAAAGCTGTAAAATAAAAAGAAATAAAAAGAAAAATTTATAAAATTTAAAGAAATTTGCCAAATTTTTATTAAAATCTTACCCTTATAAAGTTTATGGGTATTGTTTGCTTAGTTTTAGCATATTGACGTGCCACTTTATAAACGGTTTCTGGTATATATTCGAGTACTAAATTCAAAAACACCTCATCACGCTAAAAGAAAATAGATAGGTAAAAAACACACATAAATTTATTAAAATATTCTAGATTTTCTTAATATTGCAAATGTTTACTTCAATTTTAAATAAAAAAAATTATAGAAAAAAAATATGAGAAAATAATTAAAAACTTAATAAAATTATAAAATAACATAGATTTTTTTTTTAAAATAAATAGTTTAATTAAAAAAAAATTATAAACACAAATTTGTTTTAATAAAATCGCATGCTATTGAAAATATTTCTATTTACAAAACTAGCATACGACATTTATTTCTAGTTTATGAACAACAAGTTGTAATGTATACGAAAAATGATTAAATTTTGGAGTTTTTTGAAAAGTTTTATTATGAAAAAACCCATACACTCTTTTTTCAAAAATTTCAGTTTAAAAGATTTGAAACTGCGTTGGAAAAGTTTCAAATATTTAAAATTCTGCAAATCCATTTTAAATTTGTTTAATTTTTATAGTTTCTTTTAATTTCTTAGTGTAATTGTAAAACTCTTTGGCTTTGCAGTTGATAAATCGTCATTGATTTCATTGTTCTTTATTTTAAACTGTTGACATCACTTTTTGTTTTGTTTACATTGCTCTCGTCAATGCACATTGTTTATGAAGCAGGGTTGGACAATTGCTATAATTGTTTATTTATTGGTACAATTTTATCTTTATACCAAATACTTTATTTCCTGGTCAATAGACTAATCTATTGTAAACTTTGTATGTAGCCTAGTGTAAAGTCTCGTCCATAAACTAAACTATAATCTAGTCCATAGACAAGTCTGTAATCTAGTCTATTGTTAAGACTAGTCTGTAGCCTAGCCTAAACACTAGTCTAATGTCAAGTCTAAACACCAGTCTATTTTCTAGTCTATATATTAGTCTAGTCTAATGTCTAGACTATTATCTAGTCTAGACTATTATCTAGTCTATATAATAACCTACATACTAGTCTATACACTAGTCTATTGCCTAGTCCATAGACTTGACTATTGTATATAGACTTCTCTATCGTCTAGTCTATACAATAGTCTGTTGTCTTGTCTAAATACTTGTCTGTCTACATACTATTCTATCTATTTATAGATTAGTCTATTCTATAGATTAGTCTATTCTATAGATTAGTCTATTGCCTAGTCCATAGAATAGTCTATTGTCTAGACTAGTCTATGAGTTATGTTAAGACTAGGCCATTGTCTAGTTTCTTGTCTAGTCGAATCTAATGTCGCTAGATTTTATATTAGTCTATCATATAGTCTATAGAATAGTCTATATAATAGTCTATTGTCTAGTCTATTGACTAGTCTATTGTCTAGTCTATAGACTAGTTAATTGTCTAGTCTATGGACTTGTCAATTGCCTAGTCTGTAGATTACTTGTCTATTTTCTAGGCTATACACTAGTCTTTAGATTAGTCTACATACTAGTTAATTGTCTAGTCTATGGACTTGTCAATTGTCTAGTCTGTAGATTACTTGTCTATTTTCTAGGCTATACACTAGTCTTTAGATTAGTCTACATACTAGTCTATTGTCTAGTCTATTGACTAGTCTATTGTCTAGTCTATTGACTAGTCTATTGTCTAGTCTATTGACTAGTCTATTGTCTAGTCTATTTACTAGTATGTTGTCTATTCTATTGTCTAGTCTATTCACTAGTATATTGTCTATACTATTGCCTAGTCTGGTCTATATGTTAGTATATTGCCTAGTACATAGGCCAGTCTATTGCCTAGTCCATATAGAAGTCTATTGTCTAATCTATAGACTAGTTTGTTGTCTAGTCTGTTGTCTAGTATATAGACTAGTTTGTTGTGTAGTTCATAGTTAGTATAGTTGGTTGTCGAGTCTGTTGCCAAGTCTGTAATCTGCGGTTTTGTACAATTTCAAAACTTCATTTGCCATCCCTGACTTCACCTCGTGGCAACTGTTTTCCTGTTTTTGACATTTGTAGCAAATTTCACCTACATACACCTAGAGTGTTGACTTATAGCGTTTCATAAAAACCGCTATAAATTAAAAACCTTTTAGTTTGTTTTTCTTGAGAGAAAATAACAAATTTCTTTTAAAAGTGTATGGTTTTCTTGTATGATTTTTTTTATGAATTGTTATAAAAATCAACCGCATGCTAAAAATGTTATTTCAAACAAACAAAATAGCGAGCGATTTTGTTATATTAAAAGTTTATTGTTTAAGTTTTCTTTAATTTATTTTAATGAAATGAGTGATTGAAGAAAAACAACGTATTTCATTTACTATTTTAAAGCCATTTACAAGTGAGCTTTGATGGTTATTAAGAGAAAATGCAGCATAATTTTTAGCATAATTGTTTGATTTTGTTTTTTCTGGAAAATTATATAAGAATGAAATTAATATTTGATATTTTTATTTTTTTTTATTATATTTGAAGTTTTGAAGTTTCTGTTTTTGGTTAATGAATTTGTTTGATTTGATGGCTTTTTTTATTATAGGTACCTGAGGTTTAAGAACCGAAGCAAATATCCCCACATCTATGGGAAATTCAGCTAACTTTTTTTTTTGTGAGATTTTGTTGGATAAATTAATTTTGAAATTTATTTTTAATTTTTGTATTTTGTTACACACACAAACACATAATTAATTAATTAATGTTATTTGTATATAGTAAACATAAAATACACATTATAGAAAATAATTTTATTAAAAAATTTTTTGATTTTTTTTTTTTTGATATTTAAAAGTTAAAGTTGATAATATTATGATGATGCAGATCAATCACAAGTATTTTTTTTATTATTATATTTATTGGTAAATAGTTTGGTTTTTTGGTATTATTTTTGGTTAAAAACATATAAAGAAAATAAATTATTAAAAAAAAATAAAAATTTTTTTAAACAGAAAATTAAAGGTTTTAAAGAAATTTGTTTAAAAAAAGGAGGAAAATAAGGAAAAGGGGTTTGAAAAAAGGAAATGTTATTTTTATATAGAATAAAGAAATCATGGTTGACAAAATGTTAAGGTTTCAAAATAAAGCATGCATTTTTATTTTAAATTTATGAGTTTTTTTTTTTAAGGGACATCATTTTTATGTAATTAAATTGTTAGGAATTATTTTCAATTAAAAATAATATCTTGCAAATGGTAACACTCACCTTTTCACCACTCGAATAGAAAAAATATAAAAGTTTTACAATATTACAATGTTCCAATTTACGCATAATTTGCAATTCACGATTCTAAAAGGGAAAAAATTAAATAAATTAATTATAGCATTAGGTTAAAACATTTTAAAACACATAATAGTTTCCTTTTTTTAAAACAAAGTTTGTTGTTGTAGAAAGTTAAGATTAAATTAAACTTTTTTAAGAAAAAGTTACAAATTAGAGAGAGTTTAATTTATTTTTTTTCCTATACTCACCTTAAATCGTCTGTCTTGTAAAACTTTTTTAATGGCTACCAGTTCACCGGTATCGCATAATTTTGCCTGAAAGACAACACCAAAACTGCCATTGCCAATCACCTTTGTATCTGTGTAGGAAACTTCTTGTACACGATCGGTACCTTGGCCAGGTGTGGCAACAACTGTGGTGATTTTTGAACCATCTCTGCCTGTTAAAATCAAAAAAATATATCATTAATAACAATTAATAAGCAAAATTTTATGCTGAAATTATCATATAGTTTATTTTAAAGCTTTTTTAAGGTAAAGTGTTTTTAGTTTTTATAAATTTATTTAAATTTTTATATAAATTTAACATTTTGTATATAAAATTTACTTAAAAACTTTTAATTTTAATTAAATTTAGCTCAAATTGTTGTTTTTCTTACATTTACCAACTATTTAAGGTTTTTGTGTTAGACTGATTGGCATCACTGTGTTTTGGTTTCGAGTAAAAATCCTTTGTCAATGTTTTGTTTACATTTTTTATGTTTGTTTATGTTTTGTCAGCAAGTGTTTGTGTGGTTTGTCATGCAGTGTAACTAAACAGTGTTATTGTGTAGCGTTTTTATTTATCAATTAAATGATTGATCTTTTTACCTTCAATCTCTTCAACTCCTGGTATTTTTTCTTTTGTTTTATCAATTTCCTTTGGAATGGAAAGTGCCACACTATGTTCGGGCCATAAATCATTTAATTTACCAATTAATTGTTTCATGCCTGTGATAAATATAAATGATTTTAGAAAACCCATTTTAAAGCTCGTATCGAAACAAAATAAAGATCAGCAATTGTTGAAAAATATCTTTCTTTGTTCTCTATGAACATTAATAATGAAAATTAAACTAGTTTTGTTTTACTTATTAAGTAATTTAGATAAGAAATGCTGCACTGAAACCCCCGTCCCTCCCCAAGGGTAGATAGTAAAGTGGGCTGATGTTTAGTTATTATCTTGAATTTAATAACTTTGAAAAAAAAAAAGCTTTTTGAAATGCTTAAAAGTTACTTAAAAAGAAATTAAATTGCAATTTGAGAAAAATTTATAAATTTTATTTAGTTCAATAAAAATATTAAAAAATGTTTATAAATTTCAGGGAATTTTTCAAAATATTAAAACAAGAAATGGTTTATCTAGGAAATTTTGGAAAATTTGATTTGAAAACTTTAAATATTAATGAGAAATTTTAAATAAATTATAAACAAATAAAGACAAATTATTTTTCATAAATTTTAAAAGTTTTTCGTTTCAAGTTTACAAAATGTTATTGAAAAAAAGTAACGTAAAAAATAATTTCTTTGCAATTTAACAACAATAAAATAATCATTTATTTTTTGTTAATTTCAATATGATCTCAATGTTTTGTTATTGAGTTTAAAGGTATTTTTTTTTCGAGCAGACAGGTGTTTACTTTAAAAATAAACTATTTATTTTTCTTTATATAAAAAAAAATTTAGAGGAAAAGGAAATTTTTTCTTCATTTCTTTTGTTTCTATTTTCATTTCAATAAGAAACTGAAACTTTTCTTTAAAATGTTTATTTTTTTACGCTAAATTTAAAAGTTGTATTTTTTAACAAAAGAAAACAAATTTTATAATTAAATTTTGGCATAAACATTTCTTTAACAAAAAAGTTATTTTCTTTTTTTTCATAATAACAAGAAGCCAAGGCGAGTGAGGAAGGGAGCTATAGAGAGGGCGCGGTTACAATGTTATTTTTGTAAAAAAAAAACAGATTTTCTATAGATAATTTTAAGAAAAAAGAGCATTTACGTCAAAAAAAAACGTGCTTTATAAAGCAAATTAAAAAAACAATTAAAAAGTCATTAAATTTTAATGAAGACAAAAACCCGGAGATTTTTTAAGAAAAAAAAGTATTAAAAAACCGCAAAAATGCTTTAAGAAAAATGATTTCTTCTTAAAGAAAAAAAATTAATAAAATTTTAGTATATTTGTAAATTTTTGTCATAAAAGTTAATTTTCAGCTTTTTATTTAACAAGCGTTAAAAAAACGCTAGTTTTATTAAATGACAACTTGTTATAAATTCTTTCTCTTTAAGCAGGAAAATTTCTTTAAAAGAATTTTAAACTTAAAAGTTAATGTTAAGTTTTTTATTTAATAAGCGTTAAAAAAAAACGCTTAATGAACACACTTTTAGAATGACAACCCGTTTTAAACTCTCTCTGTTATGTAAAATGGCGTTAGAATCTTTCAATAAACAAATCATGACTTAAAAAGTGTTGCCATATAGACAGTTCTGTCATTATAACGGTTTTTATTGTTTATATAGCAATTAGAGTGATTAAATCTCTATTTCTTCAAGTTGAAGACGCTTATAAGCAAAACTATGAACTACTCCAAGTAAATTAAGCATTTTTTGTAGTATGAAGTCTTTCCTAGAGCAAAAACACTTAACTTTTTATTATTATTAAGTAATTTTCTATATTAAATGCTTTATAATGTTGCAAATCTTTAATTTACTTTTGTTTTACAATTTCAAACCTTTGCTGATCTTTATTTTTTAAAACTTTTTCTCAATTTTGAACCAGTATGTCTTTAAAAAGGGATAGTCTATAGTATAGTCTATAACCAAGTCTATAGCCTAGTCTATACTCTAGTCTATAGTCTATTCTGGTCTATAGTCTAGTCTTTACAGAAATGTAGCGATTTTTCACGAACAAAATCGCTTAATTCATTTTCATTGCCTTTCCCAACATTTTTACCGACATACTGGCTGAGAGTTATTTTTTTTTAACAAATCTATTACTTGGATCGGCATATTTTTTAACGGCACTATTTGTACGCGTTAGAATCTTAGCATTTTTGCCATTTTTCGAACTTGAAGTTGTTGTTGTGGTCGTCGTGTTGGTTGTCGTCGTTGTTGACAGTGATGAAGAACTTGTTGTCGAAGTTGTAGTCGCAGAAGAGGTAGATGATGTTGAAGATGAAGAAGATGATGAAGTTATAAATTTAGCTTTTTCACTATTATTTGTTTTATTTATACAACTACTACGTCTAACAATTTTTCTTGTAACAATGACACGTTTAACATTATTGCACGAAGCCGATCTATTGAATGTAGTTTTGTTATTCGTGTCATTGTCATTATTATTATTTTGCAGGGAACGTAACGAAGTAAAGGAATTTATACGTTCGGTTGTGGCCGTTGTTGTCGCCGCCGATGTTTCGTTGGCACTTGTATCGTCATTTTTCTTTTTTTTACGTATAATTTTTATAATTTTACGCGGGCGTCCTGTTGATTGATTCACTTTGGCGGTTTTGTTGGTTTAAATGAAGGTTAAATTGTTTATTTTCTTCTTTTTTTTTTAAAGAATTTTCTTTAAAAGATTACGTGATTTTTTCTTTAATTTTCTTTTTTTTTATAATTTCAATTTCTTTTTTAATATTTTTATTGAAAATTTCTTATATTTTAGCACTTTTTTTTTAAAACTTTTATATGTTTTACTTTATTTCTTATATATATTTTTGTTTTTAATTAGTTTAAAAGATTTTTTTAACTTAATTATTTATTTCTTTTCAAAAAAGAGAGAGAAGTTAATTGCTTTAACGTTTGTCTGAAACTAGTTCAATATTAGCCAAAGATTTTACATTAGACCCTCAAAAAAACAAAAATTTTCGAATTTTTCTTAATTTGTTTTTTTTTTTAATCTATACGAATGAAAATTTAGTTGTCACATTGTAAAAAAATCAAAGCAAATGTTCGATACCACGAGTTTTTTTACATAGATTTTTCTTCCGATTTTTAATTGGCAATAAAAATACGTTCGTTTTTGTTGTTGATGTTTCAATAAAATTTTTTCTCACATGTTAAGGTAGTAGTTGCCGCCTTCGATCAATGATAACGCGACAAGTTTTATTTAAAGTCAAATAAAGGTGCAAAAATAAGATTTTTTACATCCTACTTGTTATTTTTTAAAGTTTTTGAAATTTTTCAAGGAAAAAAACTTGATACAATTTTAAGTTTTTTTATAATTTCCAATAAAATTTTAGATTTATTACAAAATTTAAGCGTTTTCTAAGATTATTTACTTCTATTTCTATAATCTTATAGCTTTTTGCACTTTAAACAAGTTGTTAACACTCAAATGTATAACAATTTAAAAAATTTTTCCTTTATATTCTTTAAAATGTTTAATAATTGTTAGATTTTTTAATAAATTTAACTTTTCTTAAAAAATTAAGTTTTCTTTTATATTTTAACATTTTCTAGCCTAAGGTTATGATTTTCTTTTGTTTTACAGCTTTTTAACTTTTAATAAGTTGTTAACACTAAAGCAACAAGCAAATGGCGTTTACACACAAACAAAAAGAGGCTAAGCTGTCAATTTAACTGTTAACGGTGTTGCCATAAAGTTGTTTTAGTATTTAAGCGTTTAATTTGGTTTTATTGTTATTTAAAGGGATTAATTAAAAGTTTTGATTTATTTCAAAGAAAATTGTAAAGTTTATCATAATTCCTTTATTATTTTACTAAATTCTTAAGCTTAAAAGCTTTTTTGAAAAAGAATTTTGTTAATTTAAATATTTAAAAAAATTCTTAAAATTTCTTTTAAATTATTTAAATTTTTGTTACAAAAATCATTAGCATACTTCCCTTACGTTGCCTAATTTTCCATTCGCTTAAACAAATTATCTTTTTTTCTAAAATTTTTATCAATTTTGTTCTACAACATTTAATTTCTTTTAAGCAAAAAAAAAAAAAAAAAAAAAAAAAAATCGCCACAAAAAAAACCTTGACAAATTGCCTAGGTAAATAATTAAATCAAAAATATATATTTTATATTAATGATGAGGTAAATAAATTATAATAGCAAAGAAAAAAATAACAACAATAAATAAAAAAATAAATATTTAATTAAATTTTAGCACTCGACCGTATGATATGTTTAAATCAACATTGTGTATAAAAGCAATTAAAATGCAATAATTTTTAAGGTAAAAATAATCAACAAAATAAACACCAACGACTAGCTAATGCCTTACACTGCTTATAAGCGTAAAAAACGCTTAATTAATTGCAAGTTAAAAAAAAAACTTTAATAAACATTTAAAAAAACTTTTAATTACTAATTGTTCTAAATGGCAACCTTAATTTAAAGTCTATTTTTGAACAAAAATGGCGTTAATTAAACGTTTAAGCAGAGCAAAGGG